GTGTCCCCTTTGGGGCGGGCAGAAAATAGCCACCCTCTTCCGCACCCCTGCAGTTGCTGCTAGGCACCATTGCGTTGGTTCCAGCTCCTGGCAACCCTTCGTTCAACAGAACCAAACGCTGCCCGGGCTTGTGCCATCCTCACAGTTGTCCTGAGGTTGGAGCCACTACGTTAATCCATTTTGTCGAGGGCCTCCCTCTGTTTAGCTGCCCCCCGACTTTGCCAAGTATGATGTCCTCTAGGGCCTGGTCTCTCCAGGCAACGTGTCCAAAGTATGGCAGATGCCATATTCCGGTCTTCCTTGTGTGACATGTCTAACTTTCACCCACATGAGGCAATGGAGATATCCTGGCATGGGTCAGGCACACCTTAGGCCTCAAAATCACATCCTTGATTGTCAACACTTTAAAGAGGTCTTGTGCAGCAGACTTTCCCAGTGCAGTGTGTCATTTGATCCCTTGGCTGCTACTTCGATACGCATTGATTGTGGATCCAAGCAAGTAAAATCCTTGACAACATCAATCTTTTCTCCTTTTATCTTGATGTTACCTACTGATCTAGTTGGGAGGGTTTAGGTTTTTTCACCTTGAGTTGTCATCCACATGGAAGGCCGTAACCCTTGATCTTTATTAGTAGTCTTTCACGTCCTCATTTTCAGCAAGGTTGCGTCCTCGGCATATTGCAGGTTGCTAATAAGCCTTCCTCCAATCCGAATACATCATTCTTTTTAATGTAATCCAGCTTCTCTGATTATTTGCTCAGCAAACAGACTGAATAAGTCAGAAGAGACGCTGAAAGTTTTTCTTAAATCATAGAGTACCTAAGGCAAATGGAAGACAAGTCAAAGCACTGAATAGAAATTTTCATTAGGCACTTCAAGAATACAAAATACCATAATGATGTGTGCAAAGATCTAGTTAGAAACCCAAAAAAGAACACACTCAGCATCTCTTAAAATGAAAGAACTAAAGAAAAAAAACCCAAGCCCTAAGGTACAATATTGAAAGATTCTATGGACAAAATACTCAATGATTCAGGAAGCATCAAAAGAATACAGAGTCCCTGTACCAAAAAGAAACTAGTCAAGTGGCCACCGTTTCAGGAAGTAGCACATGAGCAAGAACCAATGGTGCTGAAGAAGTTTAAACTGCACTGAAAGCATTAACCCAAAACAAGGCTCCAGGAAATGACGGAGTCCCTCTGGAAATGTTTCAACAAGCTGTGCCAGCACTGGAGGCACTCAGCTGTCTCGGCCAGGAAATTTAGAAGACAGCCACTCCGCCAATCGACCGGAAGAGATATTTGTACCCATTCAAAGAAAGGTGACTGAACAGAATGCTCAGATTACAGAGCAATAACATCACATGCAAGGACAATTCTGGTGAAGATCATCCAACAATGGATGCAACGAGGTTCAGGTTGGATTCAGAAGCTGTGGAGCAAGGGATCCCATTGCTGATGCCAGGTAGCTCTTGGCTGAAAACAGAAAATACCATAAAAAGGTTTGTTTTATTGACTACGCAAAGGTATGTGGACCACTACAAACTTGAATGGGAATTCCAGAACACTTCAATGTGCTAACACAGAACCTGCCCATGGATCAAGAGGCAGTTGTGCAAACAGAACAAGGGAATACTGCAGGGTTTAAAATCGAAAGGTATGTTTCACAGTGTACCCTCTACCCGTACTTACTCAATCCCTGCTCAGTTAGACATGTGCCCTGGGCCGTGCTGCAGTCAATGGCCTCTGTTCACCACCAGATGGCGGGCTACGTTGAGAAGGTAGAGCCTGACTTAGAACAGAAACTAAGCAGGTCAGTGTGAGGATCACTGCAAGAAACAAGGGGCCAAGATCAGACCTGCAGGATTTATGGCAACCAAACTGTCATTTCTCATAGCATTTCGAGAGAGGGACTAACTCCGAAATGGAATACTGCAAAGTCGTTTCATAAACGCAAGGGGGCTTCCAAATATTTGTGGGAAAATGCAATGATAACAGAATTTTCTAAAAGTGAATGTGGTGATGATTGTACAAGTATTTTGCATGATGTGCGAATTATATGCCAACAAAACTGTTGGGGAATAAAAGATATTGAATTTTTTCATGAACTTCTGGAAGCCCCCTCTTGAGAGGGCCTATTGAGGCCAACAAAAAAAAAAATTTTAAGTCATTTATCTCTAAGCATGAAAAAAAAAATCCTGGTTTCAATGGGAACAGTGGGGTTTCTGACCCTGCTCTCCACCCATGGTTTGTGAATTACAAATACAGCCTGGGCACTCGCCAACCAAACTATGACATGTATTGTATTATCTCTTGCTATCTTTTGTGGTCAGGGTCCTCTTGGGCCCAGAAGTTAAGGCCACTGTTTCCATGTCATAGTTCATTCTAGAAGAATCCCCCCTCTAGCCCCATAACATCAAACTGACGGCTATTTTCTTTTCTGTTCATCTCCAGCCACAAAGTCTAGAGCCTCCCTTTCACCAGAGCATACCGCCTCTCCTTCCCCTCCCTGACCTGCTCTCACTCTTCCAAGCCTGCTCTGCAGGGGCAATCCCGACCAGCCCTCACTGCCGTGTACCTTCCAACAGTGTCCTTCCTGTAACCGCTCCCCAACACAAGGGTCAACACTGAGGGCTGACCCTGTGTCTCATCAGCAAATCCAACAGTGGTGCTGTGGATGCAAGTGCTTGAATACAGCTTGAGTTGGTTTCTCACTGCAAACTCCCATTCATAAATCCCTTACCGTACAACCCCAGCGAGGTAGGCAAAACCCAGCACCAGCCAAAATAACTGAGAGGTCCAGGGGTTAAGCAATGTGTCTAAGATCATAGAGCAAGTTCATTCTGGGATGAGACCCCAAACCCAAGATTCTGTCCCAACACAGATCAAGGCCAATACTAATGTAATGTTATGCATAAACTCTAGTTACATTTACGATCTCTTTCCAAAATTGTACTTAAGAATATTCTTCTGTCCCATATTTGAAATAACTTATAAAAACAAGTTTTTAAAAGGAGTAAATCCCCCTACCCACATCACTACTGAAACACGTAAAGCCTGAATGCCATCTACAGTTAAATACCATATCTTCGTTTCTGGCTGCAACCGATTCTTCTCCAGTTCTATGAAGATCTGTAACTGATGTGAACAGTTGCCTGAATAAACCACTGTCTGGGAGCTCAGCCGTGGCTTAGCCTTGCAGCAAGGCAGGCGTGCATACATACGATGGCTTTCGGTGGCGTCTACAGGAGAGCTGAATGAAAGCAGAGCCTTCCCGTGTCGATCACCAAAAGTTCTGAAGTATTGTCCAAATAGGAAGTCAAACCGCGGGCACCAGGCTACGTGTGCATTCGACAGGAAAGCCCTTTTTAAGAGGAAGCTCTGGCAAGAAGCCATCTGGACTGGGCAGGTCCACACTCCAGCCTGAATCTCAAAGGACACCGTAACCTCCAGGCTGGCCTCTGCAGTGTCTGGGGAAAGGTTGACTGTGTGGTGCAAGAGCCCTATGATGCCGTGCTGACTTAAGAGAACAGCAAATCACGAGCTTGAGGAAGCTGTTTGTAGGACTTTCCTAGCAGTTCACATTGCCCAAGACACAAAACCGAGCCAGCTCTTAGGAATCCTTTCCCATCGCAGGTCAAGGCTGGATTTCGTCCCCTTCTGTGTTTCAACATGGGCAGGCGTTTTTGTGGCTGGCTTTTCAGAAACTGCCCCGTGTCTGAGACGCACCCATTGTAAGTCTTGAGGTGCAGATTCCAGAGAAGTCGGAGGGGATGCCATGATTTAAGATAAAACAAGGGACCGATGATCCACCACTGGCCTGTCCGCTGATCATATTCTGGTGGCTTCCGTGTTGTTAGGATGCCGAGTTGTGCCAGCAGGCTCACAGGTGTCAGTTGAGTTTCCAGACTCAGACTAGGAAGAAAGGCCTGGTGATCGGTTATTTTAAAAGCAGCCAATAAAAACATTACGGGTCGCAACAGAACACTGGCCGACTGAATTGCGTTGGACACATCACTATGAGGGAATTCATCGCTGCAAGGGGACATCACGTTTGTTGAAGCAGTGGACCAGTAACAGTGAGGGAGAGGCTCTGGGTGTAGCCACAAGGGTGGAGTCAAAGCTGCTGGCAGCTTTGAAGCTGCAACGGGACTGAGCAACACTCTGTTCTGTAGGGCGCCTGTGAACCAGTCTGCTAGATCGGACCTATTTGCAGGCATCTCCATTGCTAGAGGTTCTGAAGGCCTTCTGAGACTTTGTGAGTCATTCAAGTGATTCTAAAACTTCCCTTGCAAGGAACTGATTCACTCAGTGACCCCCAAAGCAGTTGAACTGCCCCTCAACATCACAATGAAAAAATGCAGCAAGAAGGCAGGTACTATTTGTTCCGCATTATTTATTTAAGTATTTAATAACAGTAAGTACCTACAATAAATCAGGAAGAAAACTTTATTTTTAAAAAACCCTCAAAAGCTGTAAAATAATGGCACCAGATGAGAGGTTACCAAAAGCAGGGGGACAAACAGAATATCAGTCCCTCCCCAAATTCTACTCTTTGCAGCTCAGCTGAGAATAAGATCCCTGGAACCAAGAGAAACCTCAAGTCGGAGATGCTTCAGCCAATGAACAAGCGAAGGAACCCCAGTGCACCCACCTAGAAGGGACAGATGACAGGCAGGCGCCCTCGTTCTGCCGCTAGCACCCGTCACTGCACGAAGGCATGGGAAGACAGACTGGATTTGGGGAAAATCTCTCATCTTGTCCTCCAATTTGGTTTAGAACCCATCTTCTGTCCCTTTTCGCAGTCAAAGCAAAACACACAAAGAAAAACACCTGAAAAAAGAGAAATAATCATGTGTGTGTGCGAATACCCATATTTACAAACATCTATTTCCTCCCAGTGACTTTATTTCAGTTCTAAAATGAAACATTAATACGTTGTGTGGTTTCCTTCACCCATGACAAAAACTCTCCATTCAAAAACTACACTAAGACAGTGTGTTCCCAAGTAGTAGTCCGGCTTTAATTGTAGGGTATTAAATAATCTTGCAAACAAATTATAGTCACTATGATTGATCAATAGGTACTGTCCTTTTTTTTTTCTTGGGCAAACAGACTTAACCAGAGAAAATGGAAATCACCATCATGTAGGAAAAGAAATAAAATGGGACTGATGTTCTCTTCCGAAATGTCAAGTGATTCACACTGCAAAAGAAAAATGGAAATCTACACTTACAGCAGAGTTTCAAAAATCCTTAGTGCAGGAAACATAACCAAGTTAATACAGAATCAATACTAATCAATGAATATGGAAAATTTTCCTATACAGAGGTAGAGTCCAGGGCACAAGGCTAAAACAATATTCAATTGCTTAAACAAGACTGAGCCAGGTTTTACGGAACCCACTTTAAATTTTAAGTATCAGACTGTATGTACATACATACAATAAATAGACTGTACAATTTTAAGTAGTTTAATAAACTCCACAGAAGAATAGCAGATGCATTGAAATTATTTACATAATTCAATTTTCAAATCTCTCACTCAAATGAAAGGGCTAAAAAAATAAGATTTCTGCTTTAAAGGCAGCAGGGCCTCTTTCCTGAAATGGATCGGTAAAATCAGACACTTAACAGAATAAGGAAAACCGATTTATGCTGGAGAGGGAAGTCATATTCTGCTAAGAAAATATGCCCCTTCTTGAGCTATCTAGAATCGGGAGTCTAAAGGTACTTTCTTGCATTTAGAGCTCTAGTTCAAAGTTCTAAATCCACCTCTTACTTGGGAGAAATTCTTGGTACTCACACCAGAGTATAGACACGCAACTACAAGGGAAAGGTCATTCTCTTTTTATAGTTCGCTTGTTGGTTTTTCAAATGTTAGGCTAGAAAGGATGGGATGTTCCTAACCCAAATCGAGAAGTGTACACGACACATGACAAATTTCATCTAAAACTGACTGAAAGTGTTGGCTTGGCGTTACAGGTATTTTATCTGAGTCCCTTCCATTCCCAAGGCATGTTTCATTGAGAGGAAGGCATAGTTCTGGGGTCAGTTGTAAGCTTTTCTGGCAACCGAGGGGCACTGCTGATACACGATGCCCAGGCTCTCTGGGCCCACAGGGGACCTGCTGCCATTCAGATCACACACTTAAAAATGAAAACAAAACAAAACATAAAACCCTGTCAAGTGACGCAAGAAAAGTATGCAAACACCCCAGAGCACTCAGATTCCCGGACGTACTATCAAGTTCACGCCGTGACATTACACAGTGAACCTTCGTGCACGACTCGCTACAAGAGCCTCGACGCAGACCCTCGGTTTGAATTCTGTGTCACTTCTCTAAGCACCCACAATGAAAGATGCAAGTTGAGTTTTGCTTTTTTATTCAATCATTCTGTGAAAAATACCTCAGTAAATATTGACATTTCGTTCTTCAATGATCTTCCCATGGGACTACCCACCCACCCTTACTATCCTTCTCTTAATTTATCTTTTTTTTTTAATTTTAGATTTTTAAAAAATGTTTATACAAATAGACTGAACTTTGATTTAGAGTAAACATATAAAAATTGAGAATATTGCTTGCAACAATGGACGTGGGGGTGGAGCGGAATGAAGTGGGCGGGGCGGACGAAACAGCGGCTCCTCCGCCGCGTGCACTGCTCGCCCGACTGGCCCTTCCGGCCCTGCGGCCCTGCGGCCCTGCGCGCTTGCGGCTCTGGACAGACGGACGGCCTCCGGGCGGAGCCACCCCGACGGCTGCACGCCAGCAGGAAGGCACAGCACCCGTGGGAGCTCGGGGTCTCGGGGTGAGGAGGAAGGGGGCGGGGGGCTTTGGGTTCAGCACTGGAGTCCGGCCAAGTCTGCCCTGGTGGGAGGAAAGCACGCTCGCTCCCGAGGGGGCCCCACGGGCGGGAAGAAAGCGCAGAAGACAGCTCGCGGGGGAGTGCGCAGAGCAGCCGCCAGAACCATTTATTCGGACACCTGTGTCGTGTGAGTACAAACTAGATTCTCTGCTCTGTGGGACCAAATCCGAAACAGCATTTAAAAAAAGAAGACAAACAAACAACGACCAACGGACGAACACAACACTCCCCAGGCCCGGAATAAGCAGCGAGGAGGAATGCCGGAAGTCTCACAGAACGGACTGATCCCGCGGTTAGGCGAAAACCCGGCCACTGGGTTTCTTTAATGCACATCCACTCTAACTCGGCTTGGCTCTCCGTGGACCTGCGCCCCGACGACGAGACCGGACCGTGGGAGCTGGCAGAGCCACGAGCCACGCCCCTGCCTCTATGCTACTCTGCTTTCCCGGGCCGCCGCCTCCAGGCTGGAGTCCGCGCTTCCCGCCCAGAGGAACTGCGGCCGGCCGGGGCGCTGGGGAAAGGCAGGGGACCGGAATTCCAGAATACTGACTTCGCTTCCAGGAGGCCTTGCTGCGCGCCCATGGCGCTTTGGCGGCGATGACTCGGGCTGAGGGCGCTACGGATGAAAAGAAACACAGAGAAAGAAAGGAAAGGGGCAGGGAACACGAAAGCCCAACACAAAAACCCTAAAAAAACCACCCCAAGTCTTGTCTTTTCTCAAACTACTAGAGAAAGCAGGAGGGATGGAAGCAGTCCTTCAAAAGGAGGTCCACTGTTAAGAGATGATGGCCGGGGACCACCTGGTCAGAGTCAGGTTGTCAGCGCTCGCTGACCGCTTCCGCGTGGGTCTTCTCAAGTCTTTGTACTTGTCCTCGCACAGCCGGGAGATGGCCTAAGGGGCAGAGAGAGAAAAGGCCGTCAGAACCCCGCCCTCCTGGGCACCGCCCCCACCCCTGTGGACAACACATTTATATGTGACATCAGGACCTTTGTTGACAGCATCATTCTCATACGTTCAGTTCACTCACAGATTTCACAGATGGAGTACAACACAATATTGATAATAAAGGGCAGAAACAAGAAAGGGAAAAAAAAAAAGGGGGGGGGGGAAGCAGGTATTTGGCTTATATCAGAAACTGCCTGACAATGAAGCTACTGGGGTGGAACTACTCAAGTCCAGGATTACCTGTAGAGGCACAGTCCCTGTCCCCCAAGTTCTTATTGTGTCACTAAGAAAAAACACCTGAAAGGTGAAAGAATTAGGAGGGGTAGCTCAGGGTCGGCAGACATTGGTGTGATCCTGGCTCCACCATCTGATGGGTGCTCCCAGTGGGTGCCCTGGTCTTGGCTCCTTGCAGCCGTATCTCTGACTGTCACAGTAGTGGGGCATCTCGTGCTGGGCTGGTTGGAAGGGGAGCTGAGCCGGGCTGTGTGAATCAGAGGAGTCAGAGCGGGAGAGGACCAAGTAGGAAAGTCAGGATGAGAAGGGGACAGGAGGGAGTCACAGAACGCTGTGTGTCTGCCAAGAGCAATGAACTCTAAAGTGAGTGAGGTGTGTCTGCAGGGCCCCAAGGAAAGCCAGGGACATCTCAGGGCCAGCACCAGCCACTGCGGGGGGTAAGGTCGCCTTGGCACTTGTCTAGGTTATTTCAATGACAAGGGCGAGTCGCTTATGGTGATGCAAAGAGGAGTCCTATTGATGTCTCTGCTATCTGAATGGTAAGCCAAGGGTGGTGCTCAGGGTGGGGAATAGGCATCAGGCCCACCACTGCAGAGGGACCCAGGCATAAAAGCCCTGGGAAGCCCCTCTTCCCACAGCCCCAGCCTTCCCTCTTCCCCCTTCCCTCAGCCGCCACCCTGCTCATACCCCCACTATCGCATGCCTGGCCTGGGTTAATCACCCTTGTAGCTGATCTTCCAGCCTTGCTCCCCAGAGGCCGAGCGCTCCTTTTATGGCTCCATGCAATCTTCTCTGCTCAGAATCCTGAGTGCTAACTCAGCCCGTCTCCTGCATTCCCGGGTTGCCCAGCCTCCCTGCTGAGTCTCCATCATACCAGGCCCTTCCTCATGATAAACTGGGCACTATACTCCCCCCCAGGGCCACGCCTTTATGCCAACACCTCCTACCCCAGGGGCTACTCAATACATCAACTCCCTAAGCTGGCACTACTGCCACTGGTGCTCTCACCTTCCCACTTGCTACTTGGTTTACTTATTATGTTTACTCTCTGCAAATGTCTCCTCCCAGCAGGAAGGAACCCCCCAAAGGGTGGGGCTAGTATGTAGAGGGGCTGCCTACATGAAGGTTGAGTGGGTGTAGGAAGTGCCAATCCAGAGACAATAAAAGCACACACATGATGGAGGTTGCAAGTACACAGAACAGAGATGACCCCAGAAACTGACGGTCTTTTGGGGAATCCCTGGGAGAAAAGCAGGGCTTCCTACTCCTGTCAAGAACTGCAGTCTTGTTAACCCACGAGGGCAGTTCTACTCTGTACTGTAATATCGCTGTGAGTCGGCATCACCTTGACGGCAGTGAGCGTGAGTGGGTTGAGGGACTGAGGAAGAGAAAATGGCCGGCAGGGCTGGGGCATTCTAAGAAGGCAGGAGAGCATGGCCATGCTGTGGTGACTTGATAGAAAGCAGGGTGGTGGGGAGGGCTTCTCAGAGGGCTGCTCTCAGCAGCAAGCGTGGGGTGGAGGGAAAGACCTGCCAGTACTAGGCTGTGCTGCCCCACTAGGGCCAAGGCTAGCGTTTTTGAAGCCTGACCACTAGAAGACTCACCATCACATTTTGGAAAACCGATTCTCAGGGTAGTGCAGCCAATAAGCTTGGGGGAGACAGCTTATCTCTAAGGGCTGCTGGAGGCCACCGCATGTGAAACTGACGAGGAAGCCTTACCACCACCATGACCATTGCACTGGATTGGGGCTTCTGGTTCCCCAAATGGTGAGACAATACATCTGTTCTTAAAAGCCAACCACAATGACTAGTCAGAAAACATACACCATAGCTAAGTGGTGGCAAGGATTGGACCCTCATCCACTGCTGGTGGGACTGGCAAACGGCAGAGCCCTTGAAGCTTGTTGGGTCCTCAAAAAGTTTGACATAGAATTACCACAGGACCCAAAGAGTCCACTCCTGGGTCTCGGCCCAGGAGACAAGATAGAACTCAGACAGAAAACCTCCATGTTCATTACAGCACTATTCACAGATCACTGAAGCGTGATGGACGGAGGTAAGTCACAAAGGGTTGCTGCTAGGTTTCCAGTTTACACACACAGATCTTTTCCCAAACCACAGGTTTAAGTAAGTCTCTGTGACCGGGGGATGGCTGCAGACAAGTTCTCTCAGTAATGCTCTGGCCTTAGTCCTGCTTATCAGAGTGCCTTCAGAACAAACGAGTCCAACCAAACAGTGCGTTCTAGGGGCCAAGTTCAATTCAAGGCAGAAAGGTCAGCTTAGAACGTTATGAGGACTGATTTTCTGGTTGAGGGGGAAGTGTTTAGAGCTGCTGTCGGGATAGATTTTTCTCAAAAGATGTAGAAGGATCATCGGGGCTTACTCTGAAGATATTGTAAAGTTGAAACCTGCACTAGTGAGAAAAGGCCAAGCATGTGGCTCCAAGGACTCTTCCCACCACAGCAATGCACCCGCTCACTCTTTCAGGGAAACAAGGGTTGTCCTGGGAGAATGTCCCTGGGAAACCTCCTGTCCACTTACCAGCCCTGACCTGGCCCCTTCAGACTTCCTTTGTTGTCCCCAAACTCAAACAAGAGTTCAAAGGGACGTGGCTGGAGTTTCCTGAGGATGCTCAGCCATGGTGCATGTCCATCAGAGGCACCAAACTCTTTGGGGGAGGGTTAGAGGGAAGGCACCACCTTCCCAAGTGTGTAGACCTAGGCGGAAGACAAAGGGAAAATCAAGAGCTTCCCGTTTGGATGTCGTGTTTAATAGAGGTTTCTGTGATTTTATAGCAATGCTTGTTTGACTTGCCCTAGTGTACCTACAATGAAGTCCTGACATGCCAGAATAGGGCTGAGTCTGGACACGCTATGCCAAGTGAAAGAAATGAGCTACAAATGGACAGATGCTGCCTGAGCCCAGAAACGTACAGAGACCAAACGTGAATGTTGGGGTGGGGTGTGTGTGAGGAGGCGGCTCAGCAGCAGATGGAAGGGATGAAGGACAAAATTGTGAATACATCTTAGCAGGGGGATATTGGTGATAGCTACGCACTTGGAGAATATGATGTTACTGAATTGGATACATACTGAAGGGTGAAATAGCAAATGTTTGCTTATATAGGTAGATATTTTCTAACAGCATAAAAAAAGCTTATTAAAAACATGAAGGAGGGGGAACAGAGAGGGAGGGGGGAAAATGAGGAGCTGATGCCAGAGGCTTAGGTGGAGAGCAAATGTTTTGAGAATGACGAGGGCAATGAATGTACACATGTGCTTTACACAATTGATGTATGTAAGGATTGTGATAAGAGTTGTATGAGCCCCCAATAAAATGATTTAAAAATAAACATGAAGGAATATAAATAATCTTCTACCAAATCAACGGCCCCACTCCTTATTTGAGAACCACGAGTAGTGCTCGTTGTACTGTGGTGGTCAGAAGATGCACCGGCAATAACCCACTCAAAACCGAGCCTCTCACCTCCAGCTTGTGAGCCCTCTCCCTGCTGAGGGGCTCCAAGGGGAAGCTCAGGTTGTTTGCTTCGGCCAGAGAACGGAGGTCAAAATAATACTTGGCGTAAACACTGGAGGGAACGTTGATGTTGAACTGGAGCAATTCAAGAAACTGCCTTTCGAGCTCGTTCCTGCAGAGACAGAAGGGCAAGCACACACTCAGCTGCCACGTGGCGGCTGCAGAGCCAGGCTGCTCCGAGACCCAACTCCAAGAATCACATGCTCCCGGGAGAAAAGTCCTCTCGTGGGTTGCCTGGGCGGACACCAGAGTTGCTGCTTAGACCACCAAATGGGCATTTAAAGCAGAATCCACTTGATCCAGCGCCCAGAAAGCAGCAGCTGGCAGTCCCCAGGACCTGCTACAGGGTGGCTCACTTAGCTTGCGCGCACACACACACACACACACAGCTGTGGGTGAGCAGCAGATGCAGTCCGCAGGAGCTGTCTTGGAGCCTGATGGGAGCCAGGAGACAGACACCCAGAGGGAGGCCTGTGGAGACCACATGGACTGCCTGCCGATGGCCCTGGAGGGAGGGCAAGACAACGCCTCTCTATGCAAAGGAGTCACTGAAAGGGGGCACTGCTGACTTTGAGGCGTGCCTGGGTGAGGCAAATAGGCCCAGTGCTCTGTTACAAAGTGTCCATGAGTCCATGGAGAGAGGTCTTGGAAGAACAGGCCTGGCGATCTACATCAAGTGCAGCTTTGTTCTGACACACGGGATTGCTGGGAGCAGTAAATGACTAGCTCGGCAACCAGTGTTGTCCACTGAGAGCTGCTGTCCCTCTCCCATTTAAATGAGGGTCAAACCATCTGGAGGTCTTATTCAAAGCGAGTTGGCTGGCACCTGCAGTGCCTATCTTAGTAGGTCCAAGCAGTACATTTCTAACAAGTGCTCCTGGTCCTCAGATACTCTGAGAACGTGAAGAAGGCATTGGTGCGGGTGAGCAGGTCCATCTCGCCGCTCCACGGGCATTTTGGAAAAACCCAGTGATGTGTAACCCGAACAATGCACCTAACAACAACACCCCCTTAAGGATTCCTCCATGTCAGTGACTTTGAACACAAGGTTTATTTCCCAGTGGCTATTCCCAGGGAGGAACAGGAAATGCATTTCAAAGCATCATCTGTACCACGCAGGGGCCCCAGGAGTGGCTCAGCAGAAAGGACTGGCAATCTACTTCCAGAAAAAAAGTCACGGATAACCTGAGGCAGCACAGTGCTGCCAGAGGAGCTGATGCCACTGTGAGTCGGAGATGGCCTGATGTGATGGGCTTGGCTTTCTATTAGCTGGAAAAGGAGGCAGGCATTTTTAAGGGTGGGCTGTTAGCGGGGCCCTGGGAAGCACTCGTTGTGTAAGGCTCTTCCCCTAACCAGTCATTGGGCTGCCCTGCAGTAGCTGGCTTAACCCTGCCCCACTGTCTTTTGTAGCCAGAGACGGTGACTAAAACCAGCCTCGGGGTAGTGCCCTCCCTCGCCCCCCAAAGGGTACTCTGTACCTAGTTATGGCCAAGCACAAGCAGCTACCGTGGGATGAGGGGGGTTGGAGGGTTGCTGGTAGAAGCGAGGACTGAGCTGTGTGTAGGGACACATGAAGCTTTCGTGGCAAGGAGGATTTGGGTTGGAGTGAGCCTGCTCCAACCAGGTCCCATGGTCAGCCTGGCCTGAAAGGGTCGGATGCTAACAAGCTCTGGGTGAGGCGAGTTCTGGAGTCCGGGACCCTACCACGAGTGTCCCAATTTTGCCCCCAACAAGCTCATCCTCATCTTCTCAGATCTGAAACCTGGTTAATATCCCAAACCCCACGTGGTATTGTAGGCCGCACTTCCTGCCCATGGGATGGACCACCAAGAACCCAGGTGGGAAGGTGGTGGGTGCATAAGGGTCCCCCTGCCATTAGAGGCTTCTGGGTAACCCCAGGTACAAAGTCCACTAAGTCATTTTCAGGTCTTTTAATTGGTTAACCAGTAGATATGGGGGCTTCAAAAAAATTCATGGAAAATGCAATCAAAAGATACTGCCATTGGCTTGTTTCATTACTATTTCTACAGGAACAGCCTCCAAATATATAAAGTTACAGCCAATATTCTTAAAGAACTTACTTTAAATTACTGTTATTTGGGTCTCATTAAAAATTAGTTCTAATTAGAGACTTTCCTGTGCTATACTGAAACCCAGGTAAGTTTTCAAAACTGCAAAAGCCAGAATGAAAGGGAAGAGGCTCCTTGGGTCACTATGAGCATGTCTGTGGACACATCGCCGCCGCCTGGTGGCAAGAGTGTTACTGCAGCTCTTAACAGGTGTGGAGAAGAAACATTTTAGAGACCCAAGGCCTACTTTTATTCATTCTTCCCCAAATTGTATATAGGTATCACTGAGGCCTGTTAGGGGACTTCCATTATGAGTAAAGCCCAGATGAAGCTGTTTTTGAGCAAGGTTGTATTCTCCCAGGGTTCCTGGGAAGGGGTAGGGTGGGGAACATTCTTTTAGGCTTGAGTTCCTTGAATATTTGCTAAAGCTTCCAGAAAATTAGAGATTTTCCAGCTGTTGTATTTTCAAACAAAGGCAATATTTATCAGCTAAAATACTTTCCAAAACGTGAAATCCCAAACTGCTGCTAACCCACTACCAGTGAGTCGATTTCAACTCACTGCAGTCCCTGAACAGCCGAGGCTGAACATTTTTACGGGAGCAGACACTCCCAACTCTCGCCCACATAGCAGCTGGTAGGTTTGAACTGCCAACCTTGCAGTTACATAGTCCACTGCTTCCCCACCTGCTCCACCAGGGCTGCTTCAAAGGGCAGCGGTACACCATGAAGGGGCTGGGCACAGCCGTTAGGAAGCCACACTGGTGCAGAGAACACCGCTTGCTTGTGTTCACGGCCCTGATAGGGACAATTACGAGGCTACTGTTCTCATGTGAAACCTTATAAAATACACATGGAGTCAGTAAACAGAAACCACATTTTATGTGGGGTTAATGCGATGGTGCAGTTCTCGTCTGCCCACACGCCTGCCAGCAGTCACAATCAACCCACAGACCAGTAACTACCCCATAAAGAAACCCGACCGACCTGGTGCTGTTTGACAAGCAGGCAACCCGGCCTGTACGGGGAAGGGAAGAGCATCTTCATCACCCAGTGTCCTGCCCGCCTGGCTGGGAAATGGGGCTCGCTTTAAAAATCCAGGCACCAGACAGGCATGTCCAAGTGGCACCCATTCCACAAATGGAAACCCCAATGCCAAACCCACTCAGAGAGCCTGGGGACGGCACACAGACATCACTCCCTCATTGCCATCAAGTCGGTTCCATGTCACAGCGACCCTGAAGGACAGGCTTTCCAGATTGTTTGTGGGAGCAGAATGCCTTATCTTTCTCCTGGAGCAGCTAGCTGGTGGTCAGCAGCCCAGCGAGCAACCCCTGCACCACCAGAACTGGCTTAGGAAGCCATACACCTTGCGGGAGCAGCCATCTCATCTTCCCCTCAGGCAGCACTGGTGGGTTCAGACCGCCACCCTCTCTGTTCAGCCCAGGGCTTACCCCACTGCATCCCAAGGGCCCTTTCCACAAATAGAGGGGCAGGCCTCTGTTGCTCCGCCCAGAGCCTGGCTCACAACACTTTGACAAGTCATAAGGCTTCTCCTCCATTTGTTTCCCTGACACCTACTTCCCTGAGGAGATTGTCTCAAAACCAAACCAACCCAGAGCAGCCCCAGGCTGGTTTTGTTGGGAATTGCAAGTCTCGTGACTTTGTTCTGGCCACGGAGTGAGCAGAGTCCCGGTGAGAATGGCTGTAAGGTGGGCACGAGGTCCTGGGTCTCCCACACCCAGTCCAGCCTCAACGAAGCCTGACGGGCGTGGTGAGCATCCCTCACACGCCGGCTCCCGAGGTGCCGGCCTCTGAATTTCCGGGAGCACTCATCCTGACGTTAAGTGCTCCTCAGTCTGCCTTCTCGCCTAGACACCCACACTGTTCACGGGACGGGGCGCAGCAGAACACGCTGCACCACGGTCCTCTGGCTGTGCTGGGTTTTCCTGGCCAGAGATAGAAGCAGCTCACGCTGGGGGCCGGGGTTGGGGAGTGGGATGTCAAAAGGGGACCTGGAAGATGGTGCAGAAACCAAGAAACCCCCACCCACTGTAAAAATTGTTCCTGAGTCCTCCAGGCCACACCAAGGAAAAGCTCGGAGGTTTGCTTCTGCCATGAGCTAGAGGGCACTTAGTAACACGGAGCCCCGGTGGAGTAGTGGATACACGCAGGGCTAGTTTGCTAACACAGTCAGCAGTTTGAAAGCACAAGCCACTCCTCAGGAGAAAGGGAAGGGTTTGCACTCCCGCTACGTCTTGGAAACCCACCGGGGCAGTTCTGTCCTGTCCTGCAGGGAAGCGATCAGTCAGAATCAAGTCAATGGCAGTGAGTTTGGTTTTTGGCTAATGATATGAGAAAAGTTTATATATTCCAATAACCACCCTAACATATGTAATTTTGCAATAATAGCTAAAACATCACAAAACCATGAGTGGTTTATGTAGGCAGATGGGTGCATACGTGTATGTAAAGACAACAGATGCAGGTGACTGCACAGCCAAGTCAAGGTGGGTCTGTCGGCTTATGTACATGTATGTGCAAACACTGGGACTTACCTATCAAAGGGTTAGCACCTAATCTCTCTGGGGGAGGGGACAACTGGTGATTCTACCTTCCCTCATCCCCCAGGTCTAACCTTTTCTCAACCAGGAAAGGGAAGGTTTGCTTCCAAAATAGCTTCACGGAAACAATTTGTCAAAACCAGAGGGTGTGACTAACACCCATTCATGCTCCACCATGAAGAGCCAGGCTGGAGATCTCACATGTTCTATCCCAGCTCCCAACAGGCATGACATCCAATGTATTCACTGCACAGAACGTAAAACATTAAAATGATGCGCCTGCGGTCCCGGTGACTCTGATCCTGGCAACCCCATGTGTGCGGATTAGAAAGGATCCACAGGGATCTTCACGGGTGGCTTGTTTTATTTTTTCACCCCTCCCAGCAATGGTCACCAGTCCTTTCTTCTGAGGCGCTTCTAGGCAGACCCTTCGGTTAGCAGCGGAGCCTGTGAACAGGTTGTAGGACCCAGGGACTCCTGTGGGAGATACGAGGGACTTCCAAAAGTTCATGAGTAAACGGAACGAAAGGTCATCGACTTTCTCCGTAAACACCTTGAAGCCTCCTCATACAACACACCAAAAAAGGCAGTTTCTCCTCCTCCTCCTCCCCAGACCACGTCACTGAGCCTGGACGCCGCGTCCCCACTCACATGTCCTCCACCGTGATGTCCTTCAGGATCTGGCAGTAGTCCACGTTCCAGACTGCCTGGTCGTCCCACACCTTGGAGGCCAGCAGGATGGCGCCCAGGACAATGCGCTTCCAGTTGGCCGGGCAGATGTCTATCTCCGCGTATGTCAGAAGTCTTTCGAGGTAAACCTGGAGAGATACGGACACCCGGGCTGGCTGACGGGCGCTCTGCTGCCCTGCCAACGCGCACCCACAGTGGCTCTCGCAATGGGTGAGAGCGTGTGGCCAGCCTTTACCCAGGGATCAACTGACTACATTTACCTTTAAGAGGCCCAAGGGATCTATGAACCTGCTGCCAGCGGGCTCAAGGCCAGACGACGCTGTGCCAGGAGAGGGTGGATGGAGCCAACCCTCGAAGACCCCAGGCCAGACCAAATCCCAGCACAAACCACGGGACATGTGCTTCCCATCAAGGCCGGGGCAGCAAACAGAACCTCAGCAACAACACGAGCTCCATCGATGACAAAAAGAATCTCTCGAGGGAAACTGATGTGCCTCATCGGCCTGCACAGATTTCCAACTGCACTCTCCAAATTCTGGCATGATTACTCACTGGCAGTTGTGGATTAACCTAGTGTTAACACGCGGTCGAGTCCAGCTAACATTGGGAAACAAAACCATATGATTTCTTTTTCTTTTCACAACTATTACCTTTCATGTGCAACCCTCCCTGTACCTTTCCCTGGCCTCTGGCACTCTCTTTACTTGGTACCACAGCAAATCTATAGGGGGGTAGAAGGAATGTGTTTGTAATGTCAATAAAGTCTGAGCTATGACAAATGTCATTTTAGAAAGCGCGCGCTGAAGGGAACAATGTTACAAACACAAGCAGACACTTACTGCTCAGAGATGGACAGGAAGAGTCTGGAGAAGGGGCGCAGGGAGGCCTCCCCTCCACACCTGCCCCCTCACGAGGTAGGCCTGGGTGGCGGCCGGACCCCAACACATGGAGCAGATCGCCTGGGAAAGGCTTGTGATATGGCGGGAATCTACAAGGAGTACGGATGATGATGCCAAACGTGGCCTCCTAATTACACTGCAAGAAGCAACCAAAAGATGCCATGGTGTGCTCACTTGCAATTATACTGAGTTCCTCTTTTCCTTGCATGGAAACAGAGCATGTACTATGTGCCGGGCAGTAGGCTGGTCACTGGACACCCACGGGCAAAAGGCCACTTGCCACTCGCCACATTTGAAGAAGGTGGGCTCCTGTCCTGTGTCAGATGAGGATCTGTTTACAAACTGGGGGCTCCAAGGAGGCTTCCTAAAGCCAAAGTCAGAGGTCGGAGGACATATGGGCCCCTGAAGTAGAAGAAGGTGGCCCAGGAATCAGTGTCCTAGTAGAGAGGGGACCCCAGGCTGAGGCCGGAGAGGGACCCAAAGATACCGCGGCTACTGCTGAGACTCCCTGTCCCAGGGCGGGCAGTCTGCCTAGCACCTTGCATGAAGAACTCACCTCGCCCTCACGGAGCCAGGGAGGCAGGGAAGCTCACCACTCTCCCCATTTTGCAGGAGGGAAGCCAGTGAGGTCATCGAGAGGTTTGGCAGTCACCCAAGGAATGGGGCCGAGGAACAGGGGGCGGGCTTCCGAGCTGGGCTGCCAGAGCAGATGTTTCTGACTAAGGATAGTGGGATAGCAGGGTCAGGCACTGACCTCGGGTTCAGAGTGAGGGGTAGGGGGGACACACACTGGACAAGAGCCGTGTGGAAGACGATGCCACAATGCCAGTGGGGGTGGGGACATGCCAGGGGAGGCGGAGGGAGGAGCTCAGCAGTGGCACCAACCCCTCCCTGCAGCAGATGTGCTGCCCTCTGACAGGGAGGTCGAGGGGGATAGATGAGGTGTGGACAGCTGTCTGCCTGTGGACAGGCTGCCGCCCTTCTGAAACCCACATCCCAGAGGACATGGAGGTGGCAGTGAGCAAGCAAGAAGCAGCGTGGGGACCCACACTAGAGGGCGAGTGGCACACAAGCAGAAGGCAGGCTGAGGGGAGGCTGGGAGGAGAAGAATGGGGTCAGGCCTGAACTGTGTGGGGGGGCCCTCCTGCTTTCAGAGGAGGGGCTCCCATCAACTTGCGGGTGGGTCCCAGCTGCTGACTGTTCGGCCGGCAGCTTAACCACTTCAACACCAGGGTAGCTCACTTGAGTTGACAGGAACAAATTCAATGGAGCACATACATAACACTTGAAGTTCGGGGGGGAAGGCGTGGGAAGCAGGCCTCCAACCTGTCTGCTTATTCCTTGAAGGAAGACTGAAGGGTGTGGGCATTACAACATACCCCACAGGAAACGCTGGTATTAGGAGATAAAGCATTTGTAATAAGCTTCACTTAATAGTATGTAATTTAGTACAACTGGCCAGCAAAGCGAGATTCAAGAGTCAGCTGCAATTTCTTTAGCACACTCCCACTTGGGTATTTTCATTCTCCGCTAAGTAAAATAACATGCAGCGTGTTTTTTCCCTCCCTCCTCACACAGTGTCCCAAGCCCATCACTAGCGGGGCATTCTTGCACAATGGCATCTCCTGACTTTGATTCGTGAGCAGGTTGGTGTGCCACACCAGGCAGCCTGGTGATGGCACCACGCAGAGCTGTTAATAAGACACCACGGGAAAATAAAATGCAAACTTGTGAAACCAATGAAACTGGTATGCAAAATTGTCCAACTCCATTTTAGAGATTCATGCTAACTAAAGCAGTTACAGTTTGTTTGAATCCACACAAGGTACAACTCCCTTCTGGATTTTTTTATCCTATTATCTGGGTCTGTTAGATGTAGCTAATTGGAGCACCTTCCAATAAGGACAAGATCATGGGACAAATTGTACTTTACTCCTCAACAGCCATCCCCTAACCCTAATACGACAGGATAGCTATCCTCCCAACATTACACAGTGTTCCATGAATTGCCACTTCTTTAGGAAAAATAATTATAAATAAGCTTATGTGCAAATTTAGATCATGAGTATAAGGTAATAAATTAATAAATACGAGTTTAACAAACCTACTGCAGCAATCTCTTTAGTACTGTCTCTGAAAGACTGTTCTAAAGCACATACCAGTCTATGACGTGTCCGTCTAGAAACTCTAAGACCCAAGGGGCAAGCAAGTCCTCCCAGAGAAGAGTTCCCTCTGGCCCCTACCCCCAAACCATCGGGACGCTCCTAAGTCAATCTGGAGACCCCGCTGCCTGTGAAGACTGGAGGGACGCAGGCCCTCAATCCTAGATGGCAAGCATCATTTAGTGTGCAAATAGATACTCTTCCCGTTCGTTTTCAAGGTAGTGCAAGCACAAGCCCCACAGCCTGGAAATGGCCAACTCTGGGGTATCCGTTACAGAATTAACAGCTTAGCCTGAGGCTGCTTCCTGGGAAAGGTTTGCTTGCAGCTCAAGGCAAGGGTGGTAACCCAGAACTCTTACCACATTTTGCTGGTTTCCTGGAGACAATGCCATCGAGGTGGAAATTCAACTTTCCTTCTGAGAGGCTGCCGTGTTGGTCAGCGCTGGCCGAGGGTGCCTACAGGACCCACTAGAAGCCCTCAGCACTATGGCTCGTTTGGTTTCCCTGGTTGACGCCTCCCTTGTGTTGTCAGCAGAGAAAATAACGCTCATCCTGTGTGACCCCCCTGGGAGATGGCTGCGGAAGCTGCACCCTGGCTTTCTCCAGAGGGCGCCGTGAGCCTTCCCCACAGCTGTTTTCACTCTAGTCCTTCACTCTCAGTAACCACTCACAGCTGTGAGCATGACGGCGCCCTGAGCCGGGAGAGTCCCAGGGGGTCACCATAGCTGGGGTGACCTTGGGGACCTGCAGCCCACAAAGCCCTTTACAAATTACAGGCTGAAACTCACGAGTGGGTTTCTAAATCAGTACAAAGGACCATGAAAGACATTTGGGGGAGGGGGGGGCAATAGACTGGAAAAATAAAACCCTGTAGAAAATGGAACACCTCAGGTATAGTTATTGTTTTGTGAAATGTCGTGAGTGTGGTTATGCACTTGACATATTTCTCTGCATATGTACATGTATATATTTATGTGTGTGTCACTGTCTTACCCATGCTCGTACCACTGCTCAAAATAGCAAGAAGTTGGATGCTACCCACACGGTCATCAGCAGACTAATGGACACAAACTCACAATGGGGCACCACACTGCCGCAAAACAAGGGAGAAGCCAGAAAGTAGCTCATGACACAGCCAGACCCAGAGATCACGTTGCTGAGTGAGGTCGGCCAATCACAGAAAGACAAACATGTGTGAGACCAACTACTAGAAGGATAAAAACCAAGACGAAGACAGGCATTCAGAAGGGAACCGACTTTAGAGATTCACAAGAGGAAGAACCATGGGCTAGAGAGCTGACTGGTATGGACTTGGGTGAGAGGGAGGATGGAGGATCAAGGAGGGACAAGGGAGAGGAGACGAGTGGTTGGAACTGCTGAATACTGACCATCTGAGATGTAAAGGCCCCACATTCAACTCACAATTTTAAAAACATCATTGCCTGAAGCACTTCGATGTCTGATTAATGACTTCATCTCAAGCTGTCTTCCTACTCTCCGCTTTACTGAATTTCCATGGGAAGGGCCAATCTGAGATTCTATTACTGAGAATCCAGCCATCTGGTGACTTCACCACCCTCTTCCTGTTTGCTAACAACGGGAGGAGCAACTGAGTAAGTGTTGGGACCTGCACTGGAGAGATGCCATCGTGAATAACAGCTATTAAGTGCCTTCAAAACTAGGGGCACAAAAAGGGAGTCTTGGGGTCAGAACCAGTCAAGAGCTTACAGCACCAGCTTCTGAGGGACATTTCCTGAGCCGCGGCCTGAGGCTGGCTGGCTGGCTCTGGTGTCTGTGGGCAGTGACGACTGCCACAGCCGCCCACGCAGGGATCCGACTCAGGTGGGAATGAAAGGCCTCTCTGTATGTCAAGTACCTTCTTAGTTAAAATTAACACACAGCTCGAAGAGTAACACAGCTCTCTGTACGTGTGGGCTGCCCACTGTGAGCCCTTTGAAACAGTATCAAAGAGGAAGGAGAAAGAGTTACTGTACTTTTGAGTGGAGAAACTGGCAACGGGGATCTCAGCCAAATGAGCAGGGTCAACATCACCAATCAACCATGGATCACATTGACGGTGTGTACCCTTGCAATCTGAGACGGTGAAAATGGCACAGGAAAAACCTCTAAAGTCCCAACAGCAGGGCATTCTACAATCTACCCCACCAGGACTCCCCCAAAAAGTGCCAGGGTCATCAACAAGGACAGTCTCAAGTGGCTGACTCTTGGAAGGTATTTGTACCTCGCTGGTGATACTGTCCCCACTGGACTTATGGATCACTTGGCTGACAATGGCGTCAGGAGGCTAGTTCATTTCCAGACCTAAAGGGTGACTGAAGGCACCATCTTGGCTCATAATGATTTGCCGAAGGACAAAGTTCAGAGGGGTGAGGAAAGACAGGAGGATGGAAACAGGAAACTCTGGGAGCAAGTGGTGTGCTATACTGTGGAGACTGCACTTAATGGCATGAAACAAAATGTGTATCAATGATCGAATGGAACACTGATGTGCTCCGTAAGCCTTCACCCAATTCACAACACAGAGTTAAAAGAAAACAAACAAACAAGGAAATCCTGAGAAACAGGCACAGCCCAGAGAAGCCTAAGGAAACGTGACAACGAAGCCCAGTGTGCTACATGTTGGCTAGGTCCTAGAGTAGAAAGGGAACACAGCAAACAGAGAAATCTGAATCGAGTATACACTTCCGTTAATAAGAACGTGTCAGTACTGACTGTGGCAGTTACATCCTTTCATGTCCACTTGAAGATATATAAAGTGTGGGGGTGGAGTTCAGCCTGTCAATCAGCTCACAACCTGATGGTGACTCTTTGTGGGCATAGCCTTCTCATAAGGAGGGTCTTGGTAACCTCCCCACCCTTCTCTCTACCTTTATCTTCCTGCTGGTGAGCCACTCTGAGACCTGCCAGAGCCACCGCCTTTAGATCCACACGACTTTGCACCCATCCACCTTGATCTCCCTGAATTCTGGGTCACTGCTGTGGCTGCATGAATCTAAAGAGGGACTTCTGAGCTAGTACCGGCCTTACGGACTTGAGTTGGACGGGGCGGGGATGTTCTGTTGATGTATGATTGCTTCTTGATATAAAGCTCATTTTTGCACATATATGAGTGTCACTGGACTTGTTTCTCCAGTCAACCCGGCCCAACACACTGAGTTAACAAATGCACCATACTAATTACAAGAGTTAATGGCTTAACATGACCCTTCTAGCCCTCCACTTTGTGATGTACTGTAAATCCTAACTTCTACACCTGTGCTTATAGTCTTATTTGGGAGTGAATTATCTGTTATGCTAATGAGCAGAATTAAAGTGGGATATATACTGAATCCTCGCCTTAATTTACTTAAAGATGTGGTCTGCAGATTAGCCATCATCTCTGATATCTATATTAAAACAAGAAGTAATTCCCTGTTTTATGCTGTTAATCCTTAGTAGGCAGACTGTCAGCTACCTGCTTACTGTAATTTAGAAAAGCATGGGGCTGGGGTCACAGAACTGGCTGATACTCTATCTGGCCCACCTAACAAGTGCAGAAGTCATCCACACGTCCTCTATTGAACCATTTGACCTCAGAAGTTATAAAGACCATGGCTCCATCAAAGCAAGATGCGAACATTTTGACGTGAGCCCAGGTGCACTCGGTTGTGTGGCCAACATTGGGATTCATCAGGAGAATCCTCCAGACTGAGTCTGGACTTTGGATTTGGGGATTGCTAGCCTGCACAGCTTCCTGAGCCATTTCCCCGACTGACAAGAAAGTAACGAGGGGAGGAGTGGAGGTTGACATCAGAGACCATGGAGTGACACAGCATCTTCAAAACCGTGAACATTTGGAACATTTTTAAGCTCTACCTCATTGGGATCATCCTTGTGCTGATCCTTATCGATCATGTTTGCACAAACGTAAGCTATTAGCAGAATGGAGATAGCAGGCGCTCCCCGTATCTTCAGTGTTTTCCTGCGAAACTAAAAGTGTTCTATAATCAAAGGTTATTTTTCAAAAGACAGCGACACAATAATGTACCCAAACGTACAGAATGCCCATCAAAATCCACCCCCTGTTCAAAATCTGGACTAAAAGCAGGCGCAGCTAGTCGACGCTGGCTCTTGAGTGGAAAGCTCAAGTACAGTCAGGGCTGGGGCAGCTACTTTCCAGCATGCCCGGTCCTAAATCAATGAACACCAACCTGAAAGCCCACGGGAGAAGCAGGGTGCAGATGAGGTGGACTGGGAGACCAGGCCTGCCACTGACTTCGCTGTGGGCCCGACTGGCCTTGCAGTCCGAGAAGACAAGAGGAACACGAGAGCCTCTTGGCTCGGACACCAACTTCCCCCCGAGCCCGGGCTCCTGTCCGCGTGTCTGATCCTCACAAGCACAGATCCCTGATTCAGACAGGCGGAGAGCTTTCTTTTTGTCACCCAACTGCCACATGGGACTAAAGCAGGTCTCAATACCTGGTTCTGAGCACAACCCAGCTCAGGTAACCCTCGAGAGAAACGATGGGCCATAGACGGGGGCAGCCGGAAGCTCTGGCCGCCTGCCCACCTGACCACAATGGTGTTGGCTTCTCCACTGCTGTTGCCAGGAATGTCACAAAGTGGCCCTTGTGAAGGTGTAACAAAACTCAGTAAGGTGCAACTCAATGACCTCACCCTCTGTTTTAATTCCCTGCCCTGTCATTAACAATAGGAGGCCTTTTAGTCTATAAGGCAATGCTAAGAAAATAAATCTAGTGGTGCTAAGCCACTATTTTGAAAATGAGTTAATTAAGCCATGGACTATGAGCTGCAGGCTAACTGGGTTCCAGCTACTAGGGAGCCTGTAAGCTCTCTGACAACCTGCAGGCTGCGGTCTCTCCTGGTGGGCAGCAGAGCCAGAGCTAACTGCTGTCCTTCCTAGGTTCCTCCCCTACCAAATCCTGGGCAGCAGAGGTCCTGGGGCAAGTGTATGCCCAAGAGCAAGGCTAAGATGAAAGTGTCTCTGTTAGCTCTAGACCAGATCCATACTGATGGCTCCTTCTAACTCTAGGGGACATGGGAGGAGGGAAGGAGAGTCCTACAAGGGTCTTGCTCTCAGAGTGGGCATCTGTGTGTCTTTTCCCCATAGGTAAACAAAGCAACCGGCGGTTGGCTGAGAATTGGTCTGCGGTTAACACCCAATCAATGTGTGGGAGCCCAACATGGCTCATCTCCAGGCTGCAGCGAACAGTAGCCCGCACAACTCTGACAAGCACACACCAACACCCCGCTCCATCACCACGCTGGAAGAAAATGGAAGATTTGGGGACTTGAAATGGTTCACAGCCAGAAGCCACCCCTCTAGCACTCGGAAGACACGGCCCCACTGCGCCGACAGACGGGAACAGGGCAAGGGTACGAGACGAAGCATTTCAGATGCTCTCGTGGGGCTTCTGAGCAAACTGGGAGAACTGCTGGGACGTAAGTGCTAGCCCGTCGCCCACATGACATCAACCTTCTCCTTCACGTTACAACACTGCATCGCTACCAGGTCATAATTTTCTTAGGATCTGAAGATTTCGTGATTAAAAAAAAATGAGTAAGAGACCCACTAAATTCCATCCATTCAAACTTGAAGTCACCCCCATCGAAAGCTGTTCCGGCTCATAGCGACCCCGAGGGCAGATCAGAACTGCCCGGCCCCTTTGGGATTCCTGAGACTGTACATCTTTAACGGGCAGAAAGTCTCATCTTTCTCCCATGGAGCGGCTGCTGGGTTCAAACTGGTGGCCTTTTGGTTAGCAGCCCAATAGGTCATCTACTACATCCACCAGGTTTCCTCCAAATTCCATCTACAGCAGCTTCAAAATAAAACGTTCCTAATTTTAAGACTGTTCGTATTAAATCTCGCCCATGGTTTTACCCTTTAATCCAAGTTCCTTAGGTGCCTGTTGTATGTTTCTGCAGGAGCTTGGAATCCTTTGGGGAACAAAGCTGGGCTATAAGAACCCACGATCATTGCAAGTCACTTACTAATAACCACCTGTCGCAGGTCTGCTCTACCCACAGGCAAGTCATGAAGCTCAATGAGGGACAAGAATAGTGAGGGTCAAAGAATAAACACACACAGGCTTACTGGTGCGTCGGTCGAAGGAGGAGCACAGAGCTCCTAGTGGGGCAGAAATCCATACTGCCCCCGTCACCTGCTAGCTTTCCACTAGACACACGCTCTCCCTGAAAGCTACAGGGAACGGCCTCCGGATCTCCAGGGCGGACCATACACCCACAGAGCTAGCTGCTAATCTGAGCTACACACAATGGAAAATGCTCCGGTGACAATGGGTTCCACTCTTAAGTCCAGTTCCCAAACGAGATTTGACCTAAAAAGTCTTAAGAATCAAACTAAGCACTATAGATTTTGTTATTTTTTTTCCGGTTCCAATCTTAAAGTGTCAATTGCCTCCAAGTTGTCTCTGAATATACTACAGAGATGCAAGTTCTACGAAGATCAGAAAACAGAAGCTAGCAGTACATGGCTCCTTCTACAGTCAGCGCTACATCCTGGCCGTGAATGAAAATCTCTGTAAAAAATATGCAACAGGAACCACACTGGGATGTTCCTGGAGGTGGCCCAGGTCCTTTTGACACCCCCTCAGACCAAGGGGTGCACTTACCTGTCTTTAACCCTCCAAGATTTATGAGCTTCAATGTGAACGTGACTTGAGAAACGGCCCTTTGGGGGCTATCTGATTCATCCAAGAAAAGAGGCAGCATTTAAGCAGAATCTGTAGGGCACCTGGGGGGCGCATGCCTGAGGACATCCATGCACTGAGCAGTCCCACCCTCGGACACTCACCAGAGTGACAATGGCACATTCCGCCGTCAGCTGGGCAGCACTGAACAGTGTCCGAACAAACCGGTAAATCTGTTTCTGCTCTGGGTTGTGTTTGTCGTAGTCGGGTGGCACTTCGGATTTCTGGGGAAGGAAACATTTTCAGATGGCCGGTCACTCACCACGAGCAACAGAGAAACCACGAAACTATCTCATGAGAGACGAGGAGGAGGTAGAGATTACCGAGAGCGGGTGAAGGTTTTCATCAAAAATGTCCAAGAGCATCCTTCCATCTGGGTCCCTGGTGGGGAAAATAACAGAAAACGGAGTTTATTTTCTGCAAGAATGAGCGTCTGTCAAAAGAGAACAAAAATAGATTCCGATCGAAATGCATTTCAAGAAGACAGAAGGCAGTGCTACACGTGCGATGCCTGATGCCCGATGCCCGTCAGGTACGCGTGAATAATAACCCTATTTCCTTGACTAGTCCGTGGAAGTAAAAGGGAGTGACCACACCTCGCTGAAGTAACCAGGTAAGAACCGAGCTCTATCGCTTTTTGCTTTTCAAATGACCCAAATCTACTCAAGTGACTTAAATTCCTTTAACATTGTGCTTTTGAGCAAAGGTCAACTGGTCTATTTGAAGTCACTGTGACCTTGGTGCTTGGTAGGAACTATGTCCAAAGCTATGAACACTCAGTGTGTCTGAGAGGTTAGTTTAAAACTTTCACAACGTGCAACTTGATCACTTCACTAATGAGGAGCTTCGCATTTCTGTATTGGATGCCAAGAGGGGGCATAAAGAAAAACTGAACTCGAGGGCCTATAAAGGAGAGACTGGTGGAGTGGTTTTCCTAAAAGCACGGCGCCTGGGGCCATCTGCATCTCACCATCGTCAGGCAGCTCCCCATCCATCTGTTTCGTGCCAACAGGGCTTTACCTAAACATTTTCCCTTCAAAACCAAATCTTGGGTCAGCTCAGACAATCGACTGCCAGAGTCTGGGCCTGGGCGTCAATTCCACATAAGGAGACTCGAATGCGACAGACCTTTCTCTAAGCCACAGGCATCATGACAAACGCTCCAATTTCCACTCCATCAATTTGCTTTCAGAATGAAAGAAGGAACAAGCTTGGTCAACAACAAAAAACAAAAGAAAAACTCGAAAGGCACTGCCATCAAGTGGATGCTGACTCTTGGGGACCCTACAGGACAGAGCAGAAGGACCCCTGTGAGCCTATGTGCTGAGCAACCCAATGTGTACCCACCACACCACCAGGGCTCTACAAAGACCTTGGCCACAACAAACTCGGATTCCAGTCCTTCCCTAGCCCCTGGTGCTCACTGGCTCCCCCGACTCGGATGAAGGCAGCCAAGACGAGCCAAGCCCGAGAGAAAGGCAGGTCTCAGGTGGGCGGGACCTGAGAGCTGCACCTGGAAACACTGAGCGTGTTCCTTCTGGGAGCGTCTGGTTACACTGCCCGTATTTTACAGTGACCCTGACAAGCAGGAAACAGCCGGTCCGTCACCTCACTCCCACCCTCCGCAAGATGTCCGATGGCTGCGGCAGGCAGCCCGGCTCAGGTTTCCGGACGAGTGAGAGAGAGACCATGAAAAGCCATGCAGCCCCTCTGGAGAAACAGGCACCAGCAATCATTCTAAGGCGGAGCACGCAGGTGCAGATACTGTATGAGGACTGAAGAACTGGAGCTGCAATGGCTCTGGAAACAAAGTACATGCTCTGAGAAGTGACCTGTGGCTTCACTCCCACCACATGATGCAGCCCTGATGAAGAGCGTGCTGTCTGTTGGGACTACCAGCTCCAACCCTCTGCCTCCAGGATGACCAATGAGGACAGGAAGTCAGCAGGCAGGGCAGCTTGTCAGCAGAGCCACCTCATCCCCGAGACTCCAGCAGGCTCTGTACGAGCAGCTGTGCTTAATTATGAAACTCCCTCCTATAGTTGGCCTTGCACTAGTCCTTTTCACTCATTTTTAGTGGAATTGATCACCACTAAGCCAGAAGAGCAAGACAGTAAAGGTTTGGGTATGTATTGTGTGGGGTCAAATCATAATTCCCTAATTGACTCCTTGGGTTTTCTTTGGCAAATCATTTTGTTTTCCTGTCTGTTAACATCCCCAGTGGAGTTTTTCGTAAGAGTTAAATGAGATAATGCACACAAAGAACTAACTAGAGAGGCCATCCAAAAACCAAGCCCACTGCCATCAAGTGGCTCGGGCTCACAGTGACACCTACATAGGGTTCCCGAGACTGTCGATCTTTGCGGGAGCAGACAACCTCACCTTTCCCCTGCAGGAGTGGCTGGTGGGTTTGAACAGCCATCCTTGCCATTAGGGCCAACAGGGCTGCATAGAACGGCCATAGCAACTGCTTAATTATTATCGGCTATGGCTAAGCTGGATGCCCTGGTGGCAATGGTGGGTAAGCATTGTACTGCTAACCACAAGGTCAGAGGTTCAAACACACTGGTCACTCTGCAGATAAAAAAGGATGTTGTCTGCTCCCATAAAGATAATGCCTCGGCTATCAAAAGATATAGCGTCTGGGGTCTTAAAAGCTTGAAGGTAAACAAGCGGCCATCTAGCTCAGAAGCAACAAAGCCCACATGGAACAACATATCAGCCTGTGTGATCACGGGGTGTCGAACGGATCACTGAACACAAATGGGTGCATAAGCAAATGTGGTGAAGAAAGCTGATGGTGCCCGGCTATCAAAAAGTATAGTGTCTGGGGTCTTAAAGGCTTGAAGGTAATCAAGCGGCCATCAAGCTCAGAAGCAACAAAGCCCACATGGAAGAAGCACACCAGCCTATGCAACCACGAGGTGTCGAAGGGATCAGGTGTAAGGCATCATCAGAACAAAAAATCTTACCATAGTGAATGATGGGGGGAGTGTGGAGTGGAGATCCAAAGCCCATTAGTAGGCCACTGGAGATCCCCTTGCAGAGGGGTCTCGGGGAGGAGATGAGCCAGTCAGGGTGCGATGTAACAATGATGAGAAATGCAACCTTCCTCTAGTTCCTAAAGGTTTCCTCCCCGCTCCCACTACCATGACTCGAATTCTATCTTGCAAGACTGGCTAGACCAGAGGAGGTACACTGGTACAGATGGGAACTGAAAATACAGGGAATTCAGGATGGATGAGCCCTATAGGACCAGTGGTGTGAGTGGCAAAACAGGGAGGGTAAAGGGAGAATGGGTAAGAAAGAGGGAACCGATTACATGGAACTGTGTGTGACCTCCTCCCTGGGGGACAGACAACCGAAAAGTGGATGAAGGGAGACGTCGGACAGGGCAAGATATGACAAAATACCCATTTATAAACTATCAAGGGCTCATGCGGGAGTGGGGAGCGGGGAGGGAGGGGAAAAGTGACGACCTAATGTCGGGGGTTTAAATGGAGAGAAAATGTTTTGAGAAACGATGTACAAATGCGCTTTACACAATTGATGTGTGTATGGATTGGGATAACAGTTGTATGAGCCCCCAATAAAATGTTAAAATAAATAAATAAATAAATAAATAAATAAATAAATAAATGAAAGAAAGAGAAAAAAAAAGATAATGCCTCGGAAACAATAACAGAGGGTCTCTATGAGTTAGAAGTGACTTGATGGCAGCAGGTTTGGGGTGTATGGCTACGTTAACTTTGAGATCTACAATAGTCTAAGATCTCAGAGATGCTAATATGAAACTGGCATGAGAGCTTCATAACTTACTTTCATCAATGGAATTCCATTGCGTCTTGAGGCTCAAGCATTTTAAGAGTGAGAACCAATGACATAAACAAGCAGTCCGTAAAAAATCTCTCTCACCAGTGCTCCACTGTTTAAGGTTCTGCGCTACACTATCTTTTCTTAATTCTTAAATCCAAAATTCTCAAGTGCTAGCCAATGATGATAGAGAAAACACCTTTCCGGGTATTTGTCCCCACCCAACATGCTGATTAGAAGCTCTGCCATCTAACCTTCACTGAACTGACCCATCTTGATACTCTGCCCTTTCTTAAGATAGCTCTAAGTTCACAGTCATACCTGCAGACTACCTGGGGCTGGCTGGTACTCGCTCTTAAGCTCAGGGGCTCTGTTCCCACGCAAGGAGGTCTAGACTCACTGAGAGGGTGGCTCTGTTGTTCCCACACTAGTTCACACCTGTTGTACTGGTATAACCATGTAACACATGTAAATATTACATTTATCAATAAAACAGAACTGCTGTAAAGAGTGCTCTTGTTCTCATGAGAAGCAAGATGGATGTGTTGAAAAGGCCACACTAAACGTGACACACTAGAAAAATTACTTTGCTCTTGGTTGTTTGCTGTGCGCCACGGAGTGAATTCTGGCTCCCAGCAAACTTCTAGGTCGGAGTGGAACTGCCCCACAGGGTTTCCTATCTTGTCAAGTTTTCCCCATCAAAGCAGCTGGTGGGTTTGAACCACCCACCTTATGGTTATTAGCAGCTGAGCACTTAACCACAGCACTGCACAGGTTCGCTTGCTACTGATGAAGTACTGTCAAGATTTGAGTGATTCTACACTCAGACTGTTTTGCAAACTTTTATGTCTTTACTTTTTCCTCACTATTTAGAAAGAATGAATTATAGATGTGGCTTATGAAAATATATTAAAAAAGAACCCCACCCCCGACCCCCTGCCTTTGGTATTCCACAATCAGGGCACTGTGCTGGAAGCAGACAGCCTGGATTCTGCAGTGGGAAGATGGACAAATCAACGTGCTCCTACATGTTTTGAAATAAAATGTTTGTTTTAAGTTGGTGCCCATCTGTTTTTATGATCCCTGGTTCTAATGGACACTTACTATACTGAGTTATCACCAGACCCAATCATATCCATCGAGCTTATGTCTCAATTTATACCTAAATTTATTCGACTAGATTCACAGTAAATCAAACTTTTTTTTTTTGGTGTGCTAAAGCTGCACACAATAGTTTTTGGATTATATTTTATAGAAGATATTTAAACAGATAACACAGAAAATAAATAGTGAAGAAGAAATAGAGGAACATTATTAAGGCTTGTTCCATTTTGGTGGCTTTAGTCACTAACACCCACATGGTTTCCTCTAATTCAGAAGCAGTTCAACACTTACCTGTCATGTTATGGCAAATTAAACTAGCTATAGAACATCTAAAAATATGGACTACAGAAATATAAAGTTCAAAGGTCAGGCAACTATAAACAACAGGGGGTAAAATCAGAAAACTATACAATAAGCTGTGATGTATTAGCAAAAAATGCATCAGCCACATACCTGTTTTTGATGTGATAATATATTGCGAGAGCTACACTGTAAAATAAAATGCAGTTCAATGTTTTATAAACATATTCAAGATCTTACACAATTATCATAGATATTTAATAGAAAAGGCAAACAAGCTATCAGAACAGTCCCACTGCATTCAGAAAACTGCTCGTGAAAAGACATTTGCAAAGGCAAGCCACTCTGTTACACATTCCCCCCGAATCAAGAAATCTTCTCCAGACACGCCGGATTTCAAAACAAACTGCTGACAGAAACTGTGTTGAATGCTGACACTATATTACACTGCATGTTACCTTGCACTCACCTTTCATATTCCAAGAAAATGTTCCCCGACTGGACATGTGGAGAAAAGCCCTCTTCCCCCTCCCTGCCTCAATCTGAGTTCCTTTCATCATCTGTCCAGTTGGCTGTTATTCATTCAGGTTCACTGGGCAAATGTGGTCCGTCCACTAGTTTAGTTTTCCTTTATAATTTCATGAAGAAGCCGAACCATACTTTACGCGTGCGTCTGGGCCGACTTCATGCCAGCACCGTGTCTTGGTCTTGACGGGCACGGCACAGTGGCTGGGCTGGGGGTGGGTGGGGGTGTCGCCTGTTTTGGGGCACCAACAGATCACGAGTGAGCGAGCTGGGAGGCGCCCAGGGGCTCATCTTCCCGTCATCACAGGATAAAGCCTGTTTTTCCGAGTCAAGCTTCTCCGGGCCTATTCATTCAAAGGACTTCGGCCTCAGTGCTAAAATTCCTCATGCGAAAATGACCATCTTTCACCATTTCCCATGCCATCTTGAAAACAGCACCCACTCTAATGAAAGGCCTGCGACAGCGATGAAAGGGCTTTAGGATAGATGAAACTAATAACATGGCTTCCTAAGTGTTTTCCTATACATCCACAGCCCTGACCCAGAAGACACGCAGGACAGACTACTTTACAAATGAGAAAACTCAGGGTCAAGGCCCGAGGTGCCAGAAATGTCCAACTTCTGTAATGGTTTGGTGACCTTTTTCTCTACTACGCAATGCCTCTGGAAAGCAGGAGAAATTACTGCTTTAGCAGTTTAATTTAATCAGCATGCTGTGATGGTTGCTTTTCAAATCTAATGTCAGGTTTGAATGGAAGGTTTTGTATGACTGGGTTCAGGGCAGTGATTCGTTTGATCTCTTTGAATGATTGAGAAAGCAAATGGGTTCTTGCTTCCCTTCTGAGACAGCAGGACGGAGGAGCATCACCAGACTGGGAGGCAGGCGAGCTGGGTTCAAAATCTAGCGCCTTCGTTTAATGGCATTCACTCGCCTCATAGCGCCTTCATTTCCTCGTTTATAAGACTAGAAGGATACAGTCTCTATTATTAGAGAGCTGTTATTATGATTGAATGAGATAAAACTGATAAAAGCATTATTTCAATATACAGCTCTAAAACAGGAGTTATTATTACTGTTGTGATTCCCTATCAATAACTTCATCTCAAGGGAGAAGTCGGACAGGGCAAGATATGACAAAATACCCATTTATAAACTATCAAGGGCTCATGCGGGAGGGGGGAGCGGGGAGGGAGGGGAAAAGTGACGACCTAATGTCGGGGGTTTAAATGGAGAGAAAATGTTTTGAGAAACGATGTACAAATGCGCTTTACACAATTGATGTGTGTATGGATTGGGATAACAGTTGTATGAGCCCCTAATAAAATGTTAAAAAAAAAAAATAATAACTTCATCTCAAGAAGCCTGGCTCCTGCAGATTTGATGAACGCCCCAGGGTCCCAAGACCATCATCCTTCCCAGCCAGGGGCGAGACTGAACTTAGCTGGGCTTTCGACTTCTGTGAGAGCTAGAGCTACGAGGCTGGACTACAGGATCAGCTTCAAAGTCTTGGGAGAACAAAGAGGACCTTGGATTATTTAGGGGAGGCAGAGCAAGCATGAAAAGACTAGGTTTCCGCTTGCTAGGCACGCCCTCAAAATACCACAGTCACCATCACAGGGTCCATTCTGACTCACAGTGCTCCTGCGGGACACAGTACATCCGCCCCTGTGGGTCTTGACGCTGTCGGTCTCGATGGGAGCAGTAAATGTCATCATTCTCTTACACCACTTAGTGGCTTGTGGTTTCAAACTGCTGACCTGTGGTCAAGTGGCTCAACTGCCATCCACTATGCCACCAGGGCTCCTTTGCTTGGCAGTGACCCTATTTGATGGAGTAGAACTGCCCCATAGGGTTTCTACGGCTGTTCTCAACTTTCTCTGGCTGGTGGCTTTGAACCCCTGACCTTGTGGACAGCCATACACCTAGTTCCTGCACCACCAGGGCTTCTGAGTGAAGACAGACTTAATGGCAGCGGGTTTGCGTGTTCTCTGGTTTTGAGTCAGCATTAGGCAAAATGTTTGAGTCAGACAGCCCACAGGTTTAGTTAGCATCGCCCTACTCATGTCCTCGCACCCCGTTTTCTTCTGGGTCTCTACTTTCCTCTTTCACTGTCACAGCGCCCAGCTGAAGAACTCACCCGGGCCTAACAGCACTTCAAATTGCTCTTTCTTCAGCTCCATGATCAGAGCCAAGCTGGGGTGTGAGGCAAGATGCAGAGGGTACCACTTCCCTTGGACACCCGCCCTGCCAGCTCCTTGCTCCCAAATGTGCATCTGAAAGAGGAGGATGCTTTTTAAAGCAATGGGACCACTGAGTGAAGGACAGGAAGGGCAGCAGTTCCCAATGGTGGCTGCCCATTAGAATCTCCCAAGGAGTTTCGGAAAATCCAGATCTGCAGTCTCTATCGGATCAGTTTAATCAGGAACTCTAGCCATACCCAAGCCCATCAGTCTTCTTCTCACAGTTCCACCCAGAGTCCCCAGAGAAGTGCGGACTTCAACAGAAGCACACCGAGGAGTTCCATGTGCTTTCTACCTCCAGGGTCAATGACTGGATCATCACGTTGCCAACTCAGTGTCCCTGCCTGGGCTCATAAGGAAGTCCTGACCAGTGGTGATTTTAAGTGGTCAAGGAGTCAGGCGTTCACAATCTCTCTGATTGTGAGAGCCAAAGAGCTCTGACCGCCACTCAGAGCAACGTGGCCATTGGTTCTACTGGGCACCTTTCCTGTGAGGCCGGATTCCAGGATGAAGGGCATGCGAACAGCTTTCATTCTGTGCTGTTTAAAGGTTCAGCGGATGCCAGGGTCGGCAGGGTGCACTGTTCTTCGGGGCTTTCCGCTTTGCTCCCACAACTGCTAACGACTTTGTCTCAAAAAAATGCTTCCCAGAGTCGCTGTGCCACTGTCCCAGCCGGAAACTTGGGCCCAGAGGTATGTAAGTGGCTCCAGCAAACCACACAAGCAAGGGCCTTGTGAGGCTACTGTGCAAACCTCTCCCCCGTTGCCTCCTCAGACTGCTTGGGCTTATGCTTGCTCACCATGTAACGCCTGTCAACACGGAGGTATTGAGGGGAGGGGCCCACCTCCATCCAGATCTGGGAAAACTGCTGCCAATAGGACGGAAGGGCACTGCTTAGACACAGACCACTCATCCTAGCGGCTGCTCTCCTCCCTCCGGCCTGTGCCACAAGATGCTCCGTAGCAGAGCTCACATGGCCCTGCCTGAGGCCGGCATTGAGGCACCTGGGGTCATGTTTAAAGACAACTTTGAAGCTTAAATGCCTACTACCACCACCCCCAATGAATCCTTCTTAGCACTTTTAACGCACATTACACATGCCAGCATTTAAACGCTTGGTGAAACAGGTGGAGAGAGAAGTATTCTCTAGATTTCTCCAAAGTCGGCTGCCAACCCGAGGCCCCAGCTCACCGAGTGTTCTCTGCCAGCTACTGGGGGTTCTTATCCCTGGGTGAGTGACAAGATTACAGGAGACCCTGACTCCACCTTACATCCCAGCTCTCGATAAGAAAGCCTAGGGTCCCCAAGGGAATGGATGTTATCCAAAGATCCACTTCTTTCCTCTTACCCTGTTTTAAAAAAAGAAACTAAAGGGCCCCAAAGCAAAGGGTCCCTTCCCCCACCCCCGTTAGTGACAAAGCCAAGATTAGAACTGAGATCTCTTGACTCCCAGCCATTCTCTCCACTTGCCATGCCAGCGTTCTCCTGCAGCTCGGAGCCTTAAACTGTGACCACAGTCTCACACACTGCCATCGAGGCAATTCTGACTTAAAGCAAACTCGAAGGACAGACTAGAGCTGTGTGCTGTGAGTTTGGGGGGCTGTACATCTTTGTGGGTGCACAGAGCTTCATCTTCCTTCTAAGGAGCAGCTGGTGGATTCAAACTGCTGATCTTGTGATTAACAGCCCAATGTGTAACCCACTATAAACATCAGAGCTTCTTGTGACAACAGTAGCCTCGTCTAAAGTAGAAAGCAAAACACCCATAGAAGAAACTAGTAGCCTCAGCAAACCATGCCAGAGCAGAAAGATCTAACATGCATCTTAAGTCATCGCTTAATTACAATTGTCGGTCTTTTATGTAAGTGATAATGCAGACAACTGTTTGGATAATGCCACATTTCAAAAACCAAAATTACTTTTTAGAAAGGTGGACAGAACAGTCCCTGGTTTCCTTCTTCCCCAATCTTACTGCTCCCAGAGCCCACAACCAACCAGCACTGCCGCCAGGTTAAGGGATGGAGAAAGCCATTCAGTGAAGCAAGAGTTTGTACCCACCATTTAATTGTATACTTGAGGTTTGGTTGACTGACTGTGCTATCGTCTAGGAAGATAGTGGAGCAGGAGCTGTATTTCCTTGCTATTTGTCCTGGAGGATGCTAGAAAACAATGGGCAACAAGAAAGACAGTTAGACAGGGCTCATATTCCTTCCAAGGACCTCCCCCCACTTCCCCCTGAAAGCCAGAACACTGAGGGAAAGGTATCTTAGCAAGAACTGTTCACACAACCAAAAACAATACAGCACACTGCATTCATACAATGCAATTCCCTCCTTCCCACATAGGAGTCGGCACCACCACCCCTGGTCCCAAACCTCCGTCATCAGGGCAAGAAGAAACCATTGTCTTCAACTACCAAAGAGTCTATTGCTGGCTGGAGTAAAGTGTACCCATTTTGGGGGTATAGTTGGTTTGAAGACCAGGCACGGTGCAACTGACGCTCATTTAGAATCTCCTTTTCAGGAGAAGGAAAGATGAAGTTTTCCCTTGTTAGGAGAAAAAGTCTTCACTAAGAGGATGACTACTGGACTACTGGGTGCTTTGGGAAGCACAACACACGGGTGACCTTACAGCGGAGTGCCTGTTCAGTCGGTCACAGTTAAGAGTGTGGTCTTTTCTTTGGAGACCTTTAGGTCTGAGAGCTACTTCTGAAAGGTGCTGGTAAAGGTAATAATACAAATTATAAACTAATGACATCCAATTGCCATAAATAGATTTAATACTTGCTTTTGAAAAGCAAGCTAGAAAAAGAATTCAAGTAATCTGAAATAAAGTCCTTTTGCTACCTGCCGGGGCCACGTTGAAGGCCCACGTCATCCTCAGCAAACAGCCTTTGCTGTTGGTATGTGCCGGCGAATCAGTTCCAACTCACAGCGACCCTAGTGGAACAAAGGAGACGCCATCCTCACATCTAGCCCCATGGCTGAGCCCGTGGCTGCAGCCTGTGTCAAGCCACCTTTATCACTGTCCCTCCACTTTGCCAAGCATGATGTCTTTCTCCAGGTACTGGTCTCTCCTGACAGCACGTCCAAAGTACAGGAGGCGGAGTCTCAACATCCTGGCCTCTGAGGAACATGCTGGCTGTACTTTTCCCCAAAACAGATGTTTGTTCTTTTGGCAGTCCGTGGTACCTTCAGTACTCTCCACCGACACCATCCTTCAAATGCAATGATTTTTCTTCAGTCTTCCTTATTCCATGTCCAGCTTTCACATACACCTCCTGGGGATGTGAAAATTGCTGGCCTGACCTGTCCACCTCCAACTAAATCCTGTTATCCATAATGCTACTTAGAGACCAACTACATCCCCAGTTATACACAATGCTACTTAGAGACCAAATGTCTTCCTCAATACTTCAGCCTGAGAGATCTAAAAACCGTATTCTAAACAACCCCCTCTTTTTTTTTTAGATCATTTTATTGGGGGCTCATACAACTCTTCTCACAATCCATACATACATCCATTTTATCAAGCACATTTGTAGCCATCATCATTATCGAAACGTTTTCTGCTTGAGCCCTTGGTATTAGCTCATTTTTCCTCTCTCTCCCCACTCCCCCTCACTCATGAATCCTCGATAATTTATAAATTATTATTATTTTGTCATATCTCACCCACTCCCTTCACCCACTTTTCTGTTGTCTATTCCCCAAGGAGGAGGTTATATGTAGATCCTTGTAATTGGTTCCCCCTTTCCAGCCCACCCTCCCCTCCACCCTCCCAGTATCACCACTCTCAGCACTGGTCCTGAAGGGATCATCTGTCCTGGATTCCCTGTGTTTCCAGTTCCTATCTGTACCAGTGTACATCCTCTGGTCTAGCCAGGTTTTTAAGGCAGAATTGGGATCATGATGGGGGGGGGGCATTTAGGAACTAGAGGGAAGTTGTATGTTTCATCGTTGCTACACTGCAACCTGACTGGCTCGTCTCCTCCCTGCAACCCTTCTGTAAGGGGATGTCCAGTTGCCTACAGGTGGGTCTTGGGTCCACAATCTGCACTCCCCCTCAATCACAATGCTTTGATTTTTTGTTCTTTAATGCCGGATACCTGATCCCTTCAAGAACTCGTGATCACACAGGCTGGTGTGCTTCTTCTATGTGGGCTTTGCTGCTTCTGAGCTAGATGGCTGCTTGTTTACCTTCAAGTCTTTAAGACCCTAGACGCTATATCTTTTGATAGCCAGGCTCCATCAGCTTTCTTCATCACTTTTGCTTATACACCCGCTTTGTCTTCAGCAATTGTGTCGGGAAGGTGAGCATCATGGAATGCCAGTTTAATAGAAGAAAGTATTCTTGCATTGAGGGAGTACTTGAGTGGAGGTCCAATGCCCATTTGCTACCTTAATACTAAATACCTAATACTAAACCTATAAATATATGCACATAGATCTATTTCCCCATCCTCATATATTTACATATGTACATGCCTTTTTTTAGACCTCTATAAATGCCCATTTGCCTCCTAGCTATTTCCTCTATTTCCTTTTACTTTCCTCTTGTCACACTACCATGCTCAGCTTTCCTCTTAAAAGCCAAATAATAAACAGAAACTGTCACTCACTGGTTGGGGTAGGGTATCCAGTTCCTTCAATGGCGGCTAGAGGGCACTGCACTACCTATACATGTGACCCTCCCCCGCACCTGACTTCAAAGGTATGTGGGTCAAGAGAAAAAAGAACCAAACTTAGGAAATTCCACAGACAAGGCCATTTCTGAGACTTTACTTCCTAAATATAGGTGGTGTGTGTCTGTGGAAGGAAAGGTTGAGGAGAAGGCCGAGTAAAGTTCAAGTTACAACTAAGGTTCACCTTTCAACAAGGTGTTTCCACATTCATTAATCACAGCCTTCTTTCTCATTAAGGCAAACTCGAGGCATTAAAAACAATTCTCTCTCTCTCTCTTTTTAAGCTCACCTGGCAAGCACAGTTACATCACACAAGAAACGTTAAACATTCCTAGCTATTAATAACCATTAGTATGAGTGGCAAGTGTTTAAAAATCCTGATGGAAATTTCCCCACAGGTGCAAAATCTGCCACAGGCACTAAAAACCTCAAGTGACACCCCCTATTTGCTACATGAAAACTTAGTCACTTGACAGATGTGCCGATGAATTTTAGGAGCTATGGGATGCTCTTAGGAATCTTATTAACGATAAAAATAAAGGGATACTAATTTACTTACACTTCGGGTGGGATTTCATCTATTTCCTCTGACTCAAATTCCTCGGAGATTAAAGTGTTACCGCAGGAACCGTTAAGAGTAAGGAGTTTTCCTTAGGAAATAGAAGCCATGAGGTCTGTGTTAAGGAATGGTGATGAGTGGCCCTCTGGGGTATTTTTACATCCGCCTCGGTCCACGAGCTTGTCTTCATTAGCTGACTTCCAGAACATCCCTCAGGACAGGCAACCCAACCCCTCAAGGGTTAGAAAGCTTTAGCTCAGAAGCAGCCCTACCAAGGGATTAAGCCACGCTCGCTCGGGGATCTCCTGAGCTGGGAGTCTGGGTACTCCCAAAGTCCTCCATTCACCACAAGACAACAGTTCTGCTTCCAGATTCTGTACACCTCCTACTGCGAAGGTCACGGAAAGTACCACAGGCTGTTGAGAGAACCACATGGTCTGTCTGGAAGAAGTACAGCCACAAGGCATCTTAGAAGCCCCGAGGGCCAGACTTCTTCATCTCAAGAACTCCGGCCGTGCTATCAGGAGACTGGGCTCTGGAGGGGAGCCCTTAGCTTGGAAAAGCAGAGTGGCAGAGAAAGGAAGGCGGTCCTCGACTAGAAGGATGGACACAGTGGTCCCAACAACGGGCTCACACAGAGCAACTGTGAGGACGGCGCCGGCCTGGGCTGTGTTTCATCACATTGTGCACAGGGTCACCATGGGTCAGAACCCACTGGGTGGCACCTAACAGCAACTGCGAGTCTTAGAAATTCAATCATTAAATTAATTCCCACTATTTAATAATTTCCAAAGTAAAGGAACATTCTAGGTATTAAAGTATAACATTTTTTGTTGTTGTGTTCGGGGCAGCTCACTCTAAGCACCATTTGGGCAATCCAAGACCACTTGCTGGATGTCAAGGAAATGTAATTCGTCCAGTTGAAAACTTCTCTTGGGCCGAAACTCAGATTGTAGATTCCTAAACTGCCCAACTCCTGTTACCAGAAAAACTCAGGACTGCAGGGTTGCTTGGTTTTGAACTGTCCCTCTCACAATTACACAACAGAGGGAGGGGCCAGGCCACCAGGAAACAGCACCTTCTTCCTTAGCAGCATGTCCAGTGGTAGCCAACGTGTCTTGCGGGACGGAGGTTCAAACCTCTGAAGCACTGCCTTTCGGATTGTCAAATCCATGTTATCTGCTTACTGATTGTGTCATGAATTGAATGTTTTCACTAAACACTCAGTGTGCAAGTAGTTCTCAGTGGGGGTCAAAATGCCATACTAACCCAGCATTTTCATTATCCCGTGATTGTAGAAAATCAGAAGGTGCACAGAGGTTCCTCCGGGGAGGTGTGAGTCGTGGTTGTCCTCTAACAAAGGTGATGCCCTGGGGAGACAGCGGCACGCCATGGTGAGGCAGACAGGCACAGGCCATGGCGCTCGGTTGTAAATTCCAACTCAAGGAGTATCTAGCTGTGCGACCTGGGCAAGTGCCTCAGTCTCCCTTCTCAACACCTGGGTTTCTGTGTAAGTAAAAATGAATGTGAGGTTCAAGACCTCACTGGGTTCCTTACGAGAAGTGGGTACCTGTACAGTGTTCAGAAGCAGGAGAGCACACAGGAAGTGCTACGCAGCATTTACTTAGTAACATACCTGATGTACCACATGTACGAAAGCAAGGCGATCCCGTGCACAGAGAACCAACCACTGCCCAGCCGCTGCCAGTCTCAAGCTCGTGCTGTGTTTGAGCCCATTGTTGCAGCCACTGTGCCAACTCATCTCCCTGAGGATCTCTCTTGCTGACTCTGTAGTCACGACGCCTCATGTTCTTCTCCCCCCAAAATTGGTCCGTCCTGGTAACATGTCCAAAGTATGTGAGATGAGGTCTCACCGACCCGCTTCTAGGAGCGTTCTGGCGGGACTTCTCCAAGAC